CTACTAGTAAAAAAATGGCCCAATCCACGCCTCCCACGGTACTGCGGAGATGTCAGCTATACGTGTTTTTTTGTACTACGTGTTTTTTTGTACATCTTATGCTATTCTTACTCTTTCGGCACAGGTCGGCTTTGTTGAATTTTACTGGTCCCCATCGGTCACTGCCGATGCCTCCTGTTGGAACCCGTAAATTCTAGCAAAGCTATGCAATAGCCTGGGATTCACAGCTTCACAAGAGTCTGCAAGCAGGGCACACCATCATTGGGATAATCACAACGTGGGTCGTATTCGACCGCGAGGGAGGGGGTCGTATTTGGTCTGAGAAAATTTTTTTGGTATTGATTTCTCTTGTTTCACGGACGCTATGGGGGGGGGTCGTATTTGCTCGTTGTTGGGAGGGGAGGAGGGGGAGGGGGTCGTATGTGTCTTTGAGAGGAATTTGCGGCGTTGGGAAAAAACTTTTCCCGGTTGTTGACTTTTTGCGGTTTTTCCCGTTTCACTGGTGTTATATACCTCCCCCCCCTAGTTGGCAACACTGCCAACAATTTCTACAAGTACTATTTCCAATAGTTGGGGATAGTAGTTAGTTTCTGACGACTCCTTCCCCCCCCCTCCCCGCTCTATAGCAAAATTCTGGGGAAAACCAACAATTTTTCGGGAAATTCCGGGAAAAATTGGTAATGAGTGGGGGAAATCTAAGAAATTTTCCTATCTCACATTGCCCATATCTCCCCCTCCCCGCCCACGGAAAATTTACGGATGGAAATACTGGAATATCTAGGTAAGTGGTAGGTAGGTTGGGGAGGGGTCGTATTTTGCAGGAATCACATCGGGGGCGTGCCCTGGCTGCAAGTCCTCACCCCCAGGTTTGGTAGAAACTGGTAGAAAAAACTAGCGGAATGTGCCCCTCCCAAGCCAAGCAGAGCCTATCCTTGTTTAGTTTGTTGTTTATGAAAGGTAGACAAACAATCCTTTTGTCACAGTGCTTGCAATGATTTTATTGATGTTACGATTTTCAGCG